ACTACACCTCATATGCAAAAAAATCTCCACCTAACAACAAATAATTACTTTTCAATTTATCCATCAAGACATTGATCGTTGCATCATTTGTGGTACAATTATCAACAACCACATAAGAAATTTTATTTTCCAAGGAATATTGTGACAAACAATTAATTAGAATCTTGGCAATAACCTTTTTTGTGTGAGAACATGGCACAAAACAAAACTTACGCAAAATCAACACATAAAAATAGAAGCAAGTTCAAAATAGAATCATCACATAAAAATTGTAAGAATCATCATATCTTTTATTAAATATTATAACTAAATTAACCAAACAAATAATTATCACAACGTTCTATTATGTAAAATCCATTGTTGATCAATTAAATGTGATGTCACGGCCATATACCTTTTTTTTCTTATTGGAGGCGGTCCACATATCGGTCGTTATTACTCTACCCTCATTATGTTCCAACAAGACCTTAAGAGAACTCCTTTCAGTGTTGTACAATTTCAGAATATCGCTCCTCAATGCGTTTCTTGAAATCATCTTGAAGTTGTTATTCAAACTCTTGACGAAGCTCCTAAAACCAATATGATCCACAATTGACAAAGGATACTCATGTATTACTGCCATTCTAATCAATCATCTCCTTGAAACTTTTTGATCAAAAATCAATTTTTTTCCTTTTCCTCAAGTGTCAGAGTTGCAGACCCATCCTATTGGGTTTTAACTTTCAATTGTGATTGACCAGTTGCAAGATTCAAATGCCTTTTTGAGCTTTTTTTTTTTACATGTTTAAGCAGGTGTGAAGTTCCACTACTTCCATTGTAAGAGTGTTTTTGTACAACTCTTACGTTTTGCTCTTTGTATACCATTCTCTATGATCAACTTAAAATATTACCAAGCTTCGGATATTAATTTCTTACTTGTTTTAACATCACTACTTGACACCTTTTTTAGGATCATTCCTAACTTCAACAAAGCTTTCAAAATCTCCTCCTTTCCCATTTGATTCTGCACTTGAAATGATTTTTTAATAAGATGACTAGAACCAACATCACTATCTTTTCATTAACATTCGATTGTTCATCCATAACTCTGGAAATTCAGCAAACCAATAATGATATATGGTGTAAAAAATTAGAAAAATTATAATAATAAAAACTTATAACTAACGTGGGATTCTCCATACTACACGGTAAGTTACTTTCATCCTTTTCAGTAAAAACTTCACCTCCATCAAGGGCACAAATACAAGTAATTCCGTAAAAAAAGTTTGAAGGATACCACTTCTTTTTAGTGATTTTACAGCGTTTGCTTCAATGTCAATAATAAAACTAAAGCGGAAGTTGATCGGTGCGGATATCCTTGGAGTTCAGGGACAATATACACAGGCCATGGGGAAGGAAGAAGTAGGTGGCCAAAAATACGAGGACTCCGAGATCGGCTTCTTCACCAACTGCTGGACGACGAGGGTTAGCCCAGTATATCTGGCTTGCACACCAGAGATAATACAAGCTTGCTATGATCATAATAAGTTTCATTGATTGATACGATTGTTGTCCGGTAGACTTCGTCGACTGCACTCTGCGAATGGGATAGCGGTATAATATTAGCTCCTCCGGGACCACACTCAAAGCCGAAATTATGATGATCAAAACAAACATATCAAATTTGAGAAATAAGCACCTGTTGATGTAAATGAAGCCACCAATTAAACAAGTGCACAAGAATCCAACCACCATGACGGCATCCGGGTTAACAGGTGCACGGTTCATCCACCAGCCGGTGCTCAATATCCAAGTATACATGGATGATTTACCGTTTTCCTGTATATTTATATTTGCATAAGCTCTAAAGATAAGCTACGTGTTTGGCACGAATATGCTCAATTTTCTTTTACGTTTTTCCATGTATTTAGAGTATTCTTTGAGTATCATAATCTAAATTCTCGTGTTTGGAAATGTGTTGGACACGGTAATTCAACAAAAACAAAGAATAAAAGCAACATAGAAAATAAGACATTCAATGGCAGTGAAGCCAAATACATGAAACATAAGCCTTTCCAAGCACTAGATTGTTAACTATGCGGAAACTTCCTAGTTGAAAACGATCTTGTTTCTGTTGGTCATAAGAGAAAATCATACCCTACTAACTAGTATTTTCTTCTCGTATTTCATTTTTCCAAATTGCACTTCATATAAGTAACTCAATATCAAAGAGTTGAGAATGTTTTAACAAGGCATGTTCATGTCACTCAGTCTAGTCGTATAAAAAGGCCCTATCACGGTAAACCAGCACTGAATTCAACTCTTTTTTACCATACCGCGTGATATAGGTGCAATGGCAAAGGATAGAAACAAATAAACTACACTATTTCATCTCAAAGACGCTATCGAAAAAACGAATGATATCATGCTCACAAAAAGCATTAGTTGCTAAGTAAATGATCTTTAGAGATCTTGATAATGGACATACCCCCTCTTGTCCATTTTCAGGGATCCGCATTTAACCAAAACTCATGAATAAGCAACAAAAATCTTTTAATTTCTCAAGAGATCTTAATGATATATCAGACATGCTAGCTCATGGCAATCCACACATACATTTTCTTGGCACACGGTACAACGTTGTGCCGTACCGAGACAATTTTTACACCCTTCTATCCAATGAGCCCTTGAATCATAATTAAGCCATCTGTATAGCACTTTGACTAATAAGTCCTTTTCTGTCACAACACGAAACAGAATCGTCCATCCTCAAACATCGAATTCCCTCTGCAATTGCAAACCGTTTTGCTACTACTTACAATAGAATAAATAAACCACATGACACGAAGAAAAGGGATCTCCAAAATTCACCTCAAATAAATGGTCAAGGAAAAAGTGTGATAAAGAACCAGCTGATATCAACAATAAGCATTGCATCCTCGAGAGTGGCACCTAAAAAAATAAAATACACACATAACAATTGTTTGATGCAACTGAATCATAAACAAAAGCAGACAACTAATTTGATTCATCACCATTGTCATCAATCTAACAGACTTGGAATTAGAACTCAATTGGCTTTAATTGTGTATAATCTACATGTTAAAGCTCAAAACAGCTTAACTATGCCCAAAAACAACAGTATTATCCAAATCAATAAACAAGAAAAACAAAGCCTACCAAACCTTTAGCTCATCTAACAGATCAATTACCAAAAACCAAGATCAGAAGAATACCATCTTTCTATTTTCCCACAATAGGAGTGTTTGATAAGAATCCTTATACAAATTAAAACAAACAAAACTCACCCCCAAAACAGAATCAAGAAGATTTCTTCGCACCAAAACACTTGATACCCAAGAGTAGAGAAGGCATAGAGGAAACCCCAGAATCAAGACATAATAAAAAGGGTGATGGACTGCATCAGCTAAAGAAGAGAGAAGTAAAGAGTCGAGGAAGAGAACGGAGCTGAGCCAGTCGGAGAAGGAGCCGACGTCGGGGCCGAAGAAGGCGTTGAGAGTATAGATGAGGGTGTGGTGAGGGGAGAAACGTCCACCGGTGAGGTGGGTAAGAGCTATGCCGGAGCTCATAGCATACATAAGGTGGGGACCTGGGCCAGGCATTCCCTTTGGTGGTGGAGATCGCCCAGCAACTGCGCTACTCGAGGGTGAATTTGATGGTCTTTGACCCTATCGGGTTAACTTTTATTCGCAAGGGAAAAAGAAGAAGCCTTACACGTCAAGTGAAGCAATTTATAATGCAGTAAAAGGTTTGCTTACGAGAGTCGAGTTTTAAGTTATTCAAGTTAATGAATTATAGATTAAGGTAAATATTGGATTGATTATTTTTATTATATATATATTATTAAATAAAATTTGAAAATATTATGTTTTGGTCATTTATATTATCAATTTATTAATTGTTTATCACTTATATTTTTTATTATTACATTTTGATCATTGGATTTTTTTTTGAAAAATGAATTTTCAATTTATGTCAGTTTGTTGATGCCTATGTTAGTCACACGGGATTAATTTTAAATTTGACCCTTATACATTATATAGAATATTACTTTGGCCTTAAACTTTAGATTAAAATATCATTTTGACCACTAATTTTTAAATAAAACATCAATTTGACCCTAATTCAATCAAAATCTCGAATCGTCGGCAACCGCTCACCATTGTTGTCGTCAGTCATTGAGGGTTGACATCCGTCGTTGTAGCCGCCTATTATTGTATCCTAAAATTTACAATTCACACCTTTTGACTTTCTGAACTAGAATCTAATGTTTGTTTCACTAAAAAATATATCATGAAATCAATAAATTTAGCTTATATCTTTTGACTTCCTTTGACATAAATCATAATAAAAATGTTGAAATATTCCTTAAGCTTTCCAAAAAATTGATTTACAACTTATTTTTGAAAAAATGATTATTAAAATTATTTTGGAGTCTTCGTCGAACTTTGAGTTATGTAGATTAAATATCTAAAAAATATAATTTTTAAAGGTCTACAAATAACTATAAATTCATTTTTTAAGGAGTCAAAAGTTTATCATGCATTCTGTTGAAAACCTTCTGAATTGAAGTAATCAATCATACTTTCTTCAATATTTTTGACTCAAATCGACCCCTTAATATTTTTTGAGGTCAAATAAAATTTTGGATATATTTAACAAATTTCGATCAAATTGAATCTTAAATAATGAAATGTTTTATCAGATTGGCCCTAAACTGAATAAGTTGATACAAAAAAATCAAGGGATGTTTTTCACCAGAATTTTCAATTTCAGGGTCAAGTTGGCTAAAAAAGTTTAGGGGTCAAATTGTTTATATTTGTTAAATGTAAGGGTCAATTCGGCCCAACAAAATGGATATGCTTGTCATTAAAACGGAATCAGTTGTCTTTCATGTGTTACCCTTAGAAATGGTGACAGAATGACCGTAATGCCTCAATTTTTCAGCTGTCAGATTCTGATTGATCATCTTTAAATCCAAAAATATCACTTAACGGAACAGATGTACACTCCCTAAAACCCTAACTTTTTGCTCCTATTCTCTCATGTCTTTGTGGATACTAGCTGAGATTGTAATTTTTGGGTTTTAGAGGCAAGAGAACACAGAGAGGAGGTCAAAAGATAGAGCAGAGGCTAATTTTTTAGGGCTAAATTTTTTTAGAAGGTTTCTTTTGGGATTAAGAAAACAGAAGTGGTGGCTGATAAAGGGAAGAAGATGAAAGCTGTAGAGAAAGGAGAGGAAGAGAACTCTGAACAAATCGATGGAGAAGTCGTCGTACCCATTGAGAAGCTTCAAGAGATTCAAGACGAGCTTGAAAAGGTCCATTTCTTTTATTCGCATTTAACTTTCATTTTATATATCCATGAACTCTGATTTTTTTCTTGTTTGGGATTTGTATGAAAAATTCATGAAATTTTGCTATCTAAATTGAATTTTCTCTCTGTTTTTACTAATTGTTTCAAGTGTCTAAATATTGTATTTGATGTAATTTCAATTGTGGATCTATGAAATAAATGTTCACAATACTATTCATGTGTTTTTTTAGTTTATCTACCTGTCTGTTTTATGCCATATTGATGTTGGATGTACCTGAATTATTGTAGGAAGATTGACTCATTTTAATTGTTGCCTTCTGTGTGTTTAATTGTTCATCTTGCTTTATTATATCGTGCTTATGAGTTTATTGATGAAGTTTTAAATGATTACACATTGGTGTTTCTATATTTATTTCTTCTGTTCCTTTTGTGGTATAATGTAGATCAATGAGGAGGCGAGTGAGAAAGTCTTGGAAGTGGAGCAGAAGTACAATGTGGTGCGCAAGCCTGTCTATGATAAGCGGAGTGAAATCATTAAGTCAATTCCTGATTTCTGGTTAACAGCTGTAAGTGATTCTCATTTTACTATTTCCTATAAATTTATGGGACTTTTTCTTACAGAATAAGGTTAAGCTAATACACATTCTTGACATGCAGTTCTTGAGTCATCCTGTTCTTGGTGAACTTTTGACTGTAGAGGACCAGAAGGTTTAATGTCATTGCTTTTCAAAGCAGAAATCAGTTCTACACTTTTATTTTGCAAAGTTGATTTGTTGTTCGGTTTTTCTCCTGGATGTTTGTCTGATTCTTTATCTTCTTTCAATTGTTTTTATTTGTTAGATATTTAAGTATATTAACTCGCTTGAAGTGGAGGATTTCAAAGATCTGAAATCTGGATACTGTATAACATTTGTAAGTTCATTTATGTTCTTCCTTTTTACCTTTTTGGTAGGCAATTAAAATTGTTTGCACTTTCTTTTACTTGCACACGATTGTTAGTACAGAAACAACATTAGTTCATGCTTTAATCGACTTTGATTATAATTTTTCAGAACTTCAACCCCAATCCATATTTTGAAGATACAAAGCTTACGAAGACATTTACATTCCTTGATGAGGGAACCAGAATTACTGCCACGCAGATCAAGTGGAAAGAGGGAATGGTGAGGGCTTCTCTGCATATGATCTCCATCCATATTGTTTTTATCTGTATTACTTGGTCATGATATAAAATTACTTTCCTTGATAATCTCTGCTACCTGTAATGATTAAGTAATTTTGTTACAAAAAATAAATTACTTTCCTTTTAGATCGAAATTACATGGCCGTTAGGTTTTATGATCTTTGTTTAACATTTGTTTAGTTTATTTTTCATCAAAGATTAAGTAGCTTGTTCTATTTCTGTGATAGATACGTTAGGAGAAGTATATTTAATAGGTAATATTTTGAAGTTAAATTATGAGTTTATCAATTGAACCCATAACAGGTGATATTGATAACAAAATGTGATTATTGTTTGCAACTAGTGACATTTATGTGAGGCGTATTTGCTAGAGCTTGCTTTATGAATTTGCTTTTACCTGCTGTTGGACTTTATATTTGTCTCATGGGGTTTTAGTACTCGATAGTTCATAACTGGTTCTGCATATAATGTTATGCTACTTAGTTATTGAATTTAATTTTATGTTTGAAACTACTGGGTTTTTTCTTTATAAACTAGAGTGAAAGGGCTTATCTATAATGTAGTGAATGGGGTAAGAAGCAGGTTTCTTTTGGTATGAAGATTTTGTTGATTATACAAAGTAATGCAGAAGTCACCAATTTACTTTATGTAAATATCTATAGCATGCCACGATGTACCATATTAATTGTGGAGAAGCTGGTTGAATGAGGTTAGTGTGGGAGGATTCTTGAAACATGTATTCTTTGTTTTGGCCTTATTGTACTCTAAGGTGTGTTGTAGACTCATATTTTGAGCAAATCATCTCCTGCTCACCAACCCAGTGGGATAGATTCGCGGGTTTTTCCTCTTGTGCTTCCCAATTAGATTACTTTGGGATTGGTTTAGCTCTAAATCTATTCAGCATTGTGTAGAGAATTTAGCTGTTGTGAAATGAAAGGTCTTTGACCAAGTTTAGATCCTGGTTTCAGGATGAAGATATTTATAGTCTGGAATACCCATCAACGAAGTACTTGAGTTAGCAGTATAAATGAAAATTTTGGAATTAGGTTGAAATTGTGGTGATTTGATAGTATTCTCTTTATTCTAGGGAATATTTCCATATAGGTCCTAGTTACTCATTCTTAATTTTTCTTGATGTATCTGTGCTGGACATTGACACATCCAGATGTGCTTTGGATAACATGATCTTACAAAGATCATCCAAATACATTGAAAAGCTCGAAAAAAAAATGAGCATACCTATATATGATAGTTGCACTTGAGTTCGAGTACTATAGATATACTAATTTTTAATGTAGAGTAACAAAAAAGAAAAAAAATATAACATTAAATATGATTTTAAAGAAAAATAATAATTGAATGACTAAAACATAAATAAAATAATAAGTGAGTGAATAAATAAATAATTTATCTTTTTTAATTAGATATAAATTTATAGTTTTATGCCTTGAGCAAGAGGACTTGGGTGAATGCCCTTTTACCCATACTCAGGGACGAGCCTGATTTTATCTAGAGGTGGGGTGTGGTGGGATGATTCGATTTTTTTTCCATCCTCACTCCGACGTAAAATTTATAAACTTTATTTAATCTTGATTAATCTCAATCGTTAATCATATTCTATTTATCTCAAATTTATTATAAATTTTGATATTAAAATCTATTTTCAACATGATCTATCACAAGTAAATTTCATTTCTATTTTTATTCAATAACATAAGGAATTAATTGGAAAAAAATATATAGAAATATGAACTTTATAATAATTATCTTTAGATATATATATAAAAGTATTTATTTTATTTTTTAATATTTTATTATAAAAGAAGTACTTGCCTTTTCTCTCGACCTAGTTTTATTTCAATATTTTTGTGTCGCCTTCTTCTTTCTCTTTGATCTTTATTTAGTTGACGATGACATCAATTTTAATGTCGGTTGCTGACTGTCGGGAATATTAGTTCTTTTATTTTTTATATTATATCTTTATTTTTTTCTTGAGTTTTTTTTAATTTTAAATAAGCATATATGTCCTTATGACATGATTTTTTTCTTCTCTTGTGGCACGCGATTCCTCTTCTCTTGTGGCATGATCCTCATATTTTTCGGTACGTTTTTGCATACCTTTACGGTCGTTTCGGTTCTCGTATAAAAACCATTACGACATTTATTTTCTGATTGGTTAGTCGGTGGTCATCTATAGTTAGATCCCCTCTCTTGGTAAAAGGTTGTTTGCCGATGTAATCAAAATTATGTAGCGAAGCAGTTTGCCATATTATTTGGTTCGCTCTCCACTCCTTTATCACTTCGTCAAGTGTCTTATTCGACAAGGCAATGAGTTTGTATGAATATTATTGGATTTTGATATTGGTCGTCATTCTCAATGAAATGTTTTAATTTTCTTTGTATATTTTTTAGTTTATTATTTACTTTTGTTCGAGTATTTTAGTGACTATTGTCTTCATATTTATCTCTTTATTCTGGTACATTATAATTTTGATTCATTCCATTAATAGTAAGACCCCGTTGCCATTGTTAAAAAAAGTACTTTACTTAAAAAATGGAAGAAAGATGTAAACAACTTGATTAAGGAGATTTTTAATTGAGTCAAATGAAGTTTATAAGGGAATTTTCTTTTTTTTTTAAATATATTAATAATAGGTACGTTTTCTATACGCTACAAACTAAAAATTATATAATTGTTTTTATTTGAATTTTTAAAGTTTTTAATTATAAATTTTTAATCTTAAAATATTAAAATTGTACACCAAAAGTCAAATTGATGCATAATTTAAGTACCTAAAAATATATTAATATAAATATAATTGTTACTACAATTATTCATAAATATATAAAATATAATTATATTATTTTTTGAGTTAAATTAAATATTTTTTTATTTTAAATCTAAACTCGACTCCAGGTCTAATGTAATTAAAAAAAAACCCAGACTAAAAACTGTCAGATTTGTATCTCGTACCACATTAGTCAAAATTAAAAAGATTTGACTAAAATAAAATCTAATAGTAGACAGATTTAGTACGATGAAAGAATTATTATTATAATAAAATAAATTTATGTAAAATAAGATTTATTTAAGTCTATAACTTTTCCCAATAACAAGAGTAATTAAAAAAAAAAGAAAAGGAAGGCACCCACGTGAATAAGCGGGGAATCGGCGCCAAATGCTCTTATTTCAAAAATGGGTTAAATGTCTGTTTTTGTCCTCCTAGTTTCCAGAACTATCCAATTTTACTTGATAAGTATTTGGGTAGGCAAGGTTATGATATTTTTAGGCTTAATACCAAAATAAGTGCCCAAACTGTAACCATTTTGTCAAATAGGTGTCTAAACTAATTTTCATCTCATCCAGGTGTCTAACATTACAAACATTACCCATTTAGGAGCATGGGCTGGTAATGGTGTTAATTTCCCTTTAAGTGACGTATCATAACTTGGTAATTTTAAAAATTTTATTTAAAATTAAAATTATATATTTAAAAAAATAGAAAACACAAATTTTGAAATAAACTCAAAACTTTGAAAACCTTAATTTCAAACTCTAAACTCACATCGGCCGTCGCCTCTTGCCATCGATGAGCCTCCACCCGACCTCCCCTCCCCCGTCGACCAAAATGCCCATGAAATCGTGACCGATCAAAGTTCGATCGACGACGAATCAACGTTTTAAACCTCTCAAACTCTAGGATTAAAATCACAATCCCACACGATTTTGACAGCCAATCGAAGGAAAGTACGACAACATATGAGTAGGAGGATAGTAGGGATTACGTCGGTGGTGGTAGTCGTGGCCGAAAAGGCGACAGCGATGGCGACAGATTAAGGTTTGGATTTGAGATTTTTGGGCTATTTTATAATATAAGGAAAGTTAAAGTTTTTTTATAAATATCATAATATTTTTAATAATTTCAAAAAAAAAAAAATTTCAAAATCACCATATTATGACACGTGTCACTAAACGGAAGAAATTAACGCCGTTGACGGCATGAGCACCTAAACGAGTAACGTTTATAACGTTGGACACCTGGATGTGACGAAAATTAGTTTAAGCACCTACTTAAAAAAATGTATAATTTGAACCCTTATTTTGGTAGTAAGCATTTTGTTATCCTAAAGTCCTTTCTATTTTAAACCGAATCTCCTTCACAAAATCTATACGAGCCTGCTTCTCCAAGTTTAATTAAAACATTATTTTATAAGATTAGATCAAATCAAACACATTAAATTCGAATATTTTATCTATTCTTAATATTATTAATTAAGTCCTTTCGTTGGTTCATCACAGATGAGGTGTTAAAATTTTAGTTCAAATTTTTTTGACGAAATTTTAGGTCAAATTTAATATGGAACATATTATTCAAAATTAATGAATCAAAATTTAAATATATAAATTTACTTTATCTTAGATTTTATGGATTAAAAAAAGCTCATGATCTAAATTTATATAACATTTAATATTTGAGTTGACGATGACATTAACATATGTACTTGATATAATATTTTAGGGTGAACTACATGTTTAACATTTTAACTTTTACTTTTTATTCTGTTTTGGTCATCTGCTATTTTTTATTTTAAATTCATATCTAACGTTACATTTTAATTTCATTTTGACCATATGTCTTTAAAAAAAATTGAAATATATGCTGATGTGACATTTTTAAAATTCTTTAAATGATAACGTGATATTATCTTATAGTGACACATCAATATCATAATTAATTTTTTAGTTGATAGGTGATCAAAATAAACCAAAACGTAACGTTAGGTATGATTTCGAATTAAAAATAGTAGGATGACCAAAACATAATAAAAGTGATAGCTAGGGTAAAATTTAATTAGGCGCTCTGCTTTAGCATTAATTTAAAATCTTAAGTAAATTACGAATTAAATACTTAAACTATCAGTTTTGATTCATTTTAGCACTTAAACTTTCAATTTTTTCAAAATTATACCTAAAATTTAGTTTTTATTTCCTTTTAGTACCCAAGCTTTAAAAACTTTACTTTTTGTTTCATTTTAGTACCATTTCAAAATTTAATGTTAAGTTTTGAAAAAAATTAAAAGTTTAGATACTAAAACGGACCAGAACTTGTAGTTTAGATTCTAAAAGAGTTAATTTTTTTAAAGGTGGGGTGCTAAAATGAAATGAAAACTAACCGTTAGGTATGGTTTTGAAAATATTAAAAGTTTAGATACTAAAACAGACCAAATCTGATTGTTTAGGTACTAAATGTGTAGTTTACCCTAAACTTTTATAATAATTTGGAGACTTACTGTGTACTTTACCGGGAAAAAGAAAAAGTCAAACGCAAACACGCCCACCTGTTTCTGGACTTGAGTTGGAGCAGATCATTATTGTTGGCAAACTCGCAGTGCCATCCACTCCTCTCGGAGCAACCCTTGCCATGGACCGTACCATCTTTGAATCCAACCCTCTCGTACAAAAAGTCCAACAACTCGTTAATGCAAATCCATCTGGTAATACTCCTTTAAACTCCCAACAATCACTCTCAGATCGCTATTTCCCAGTTTTCACTTTGCTTATAAATTTATAGGTAATAGGTGTTTTCTCTTTTCTAAAGCAATTAAGGGTTTTTCTTATATCTTATATTAGTTCTGCAGTATGGATTTTGCTTATATGTTATACTAGCTTTGCTGTATGGGTTTTGCTTATATGTCGTACTTGTTTTGCTGTATGGGTTTCGCTTATTGTATAGGTAATATTATTTTCTTCATATTCCATGAAATTCAAAGTTTTTGATTTCATTTGGGACAATGACAAGTTGACAACTCAGACACCATGTCATGATTATATTTCCACTTAATCTTTAGCTGGTTGGGAAGAGTCCTGGAAGCAGGGAGTCACCCCTTGGGATTTAGGCAGACCCATGCCTGTTGTTTTACATCTGCATAACACGGGTTCGCTCCCCATGGGCAGGGCTCTCGTCCCTGGATGTGGCACTGTAAGTTTTGATTCTCTGCAATATGCCTTGATTGCTTAGAAAAACAGCTTCATGCACTATGCAAATTGGTAATGGCAATATCTATCATCACGTGGACTTAGGGATAAAAGTACTGCTCGAAACATGCAGGGATATGATGTGGTGGCAATGGCATGTCCTGGACGGTATGTCGTTGGGCCGAACATATCAGAGGAGGCCATAAAGAAAGCAAAGCAGGTTACACTCCTCCCACTTCAACAAGATCCTTGGAATAGTATCAGTAGCTCCGATTTTAGGTGTTTTTGCTTGTTTTAGTCTTTCTGAGGAATTTCTCATTCTAATGTTATGTTTGGTTTTCGATATAGATGTCTTCCTCATCACTGAATGCAGATCATTCTACTTTCTTGAAGGAAGATTTTTTCTCCTGGCGTCCAACAGATTTGTTTGATCTTGTTTTCGATTACACGTAAGTTGTCTCGAAGGGGCAGTTCTCCCATTAGGAAAATTAGTTTTTCATTATAATCTTATGAATTTGCAGGTTTTTTTGTGACATTCAGCCAGATATGAGATCAGCGTGGGCACAGCAAATCCAAAACCTTTTAAAACCAGATGGAGAGCTTATTACATTGATGTTTCCTGTAAGCCTTTTTGTGGTTTTATGATTTCTTCCTTCCAGTTCTTCACCAATTATACTTAGCCATGGTTGCAAAAAAAAAAAAAAAAAACTATTCGACTCAATTTATAGTAACTGAAGTGTGAGTTTTTACTCCACTCTTTATATTGATGCTGAAAGTAAAAATATAATTCCTTAACGCAGATTGATGATCATGCCGGTGGACCTCCTTATAAAGTATCAGTTGAAGAGTAATTTTCTGCCACCTTTTTTTTCCTGCTTTTGTCTAGATTATGTTAAACTTAGGAATATTTTCTAATCCTGTTTACATGCAACTGCTAGTAAAAATTTGATCAAATAGAGAGGATATATATATCTTCTGACATAAGAATGATCCATCTGTCTGATGGAACTTTGTAATCATGCAGCTATGAAAAGGTGTTGCATCCGATGAGCTTTGAGGCAATATCTGTTGTTGACAATGAATTGGCCATCGGAACTAGAAAGGTATGTCATCTACTTAGCTTGTTTTTGCTTTTGAGTTGATAAACTTGTCAGTCTGAAGTTTCAAAAGCTATATTGTACCTCGTATGAAGCTGTAATCGGACTTTCAATAACGTGAACTAAATAAGACAATGTCACAAAAGGAGCAAACCAGTTAGATGATTCAACATTATATATAAGATAACATCTTTAGGGAGGAGAGGATGAGGACTTTTTTTTTTATCAATCCATTATAAAGTATACCCTTAAGGCTACTGCTCATTAGTCTTCTTGCAGACCGGTTGATTTTTTTTTCTTATTGTTTTTTCAAATAGACACAGACGCAAGGAAACACATTCATGTATTTTCACTCTTGTTTGTTGAAAGAAATTTAGTTCCCTTTTTCATGTCTTTTGAAGGACAAAAATAAACTCTATGAGGGTTTTGTATTAGGCTAAACAATATCCTAGATTAGTTGGAGTCCAGAAGGCAAGTGATATTTTTGCTTGGACTTGACTCGAGCCTATTAGGATGTTCAATATCATTTCTCTATTAACTTGGAAAGGGAAATGGTTTATATTAGATTTTCTGATCGACCATCCTGTATCTAGTAAACAAAAGTGAAGAGGAAAAAAATGGAGCAAAAGGAAACGGAACTTTGTTAAGATGTGCTGACTGGCTAGGTACTCTCATTTTCCTAGGTGATGTTGCACCTGTGTCGTGCCCATAAGTTAGTATTGTCATGTTTGGATTGTTAAAAGTAAGAGAATTTTCACTGGCTTTTCTGGACTTTTGTCTTCCATGCTTCCCTTGGATGTACTATGACAGCCATTAATCCAGAGCTAGTGATTTAATTAACTGTATTTGTGAACCATATATAAAAGGATCACTAGATACTAGTTCCTTCAACAGGGAAAAGAGAAGCTTGGGAGATGGAAAAGAGCTGTAGGCAACCCCTCCCTATGAACCGTGATAACGGTTGTCGGCTAATCGAGGAGCCGAGGTGGTTGAGCTCAAGATCAAGGCAGTTAATTTCATTCACAAACTTTATCTGAATTGTGAGACTTATTGATGTTAATACAAAATTTTAATTGTACTTAAGCACATGTCATCTTGTACTTTTTAAGTTTCATCTTCAAGTTGTTTGTGATCATATCCAAGTTTATGATTAGATTTTATAATTCTTATCGAAAGAGTAAATGAAGCCAGGTTTCATAGATTAATCTAAATTGGTAAATCATTTTGATATTAACAAATTCTTTTTTACAGATGACAATATATTATAACCAACTTTAGCGCGAACAATGTTTTTGGCTTGGCTTGCTAAGTGGAATAGTGTAACATGAATATAAAACTTGCTTTACTATATTGATACAAAATGTTAGACTAGCAAGAAGCAAGATATAGAAAAAGAGGATGCAAATGTTAAGATGCGTCTGTTTTTAGATTGATGACAAAAAAAATGAAGATTTGATAGAGATGTTGTGGCTCAAGAGACAAAGCAAGAAACATTCTTGTCCTGTCCTCGTTTAGCTCCTTCATGAATGCCTCACTCTTCGCTGGATCCTCCCTTTACGCTGTCTCCTTACACTTAGCACTCTCTCCTCTCCATTTTTCATTTTTGTTGATCCAAATTAATTAATCACCTTTTTCCCAATACACTTATTTCATTAACTGACGACCTATATTGTTTTTATTTGTAACAATGGATGAACATAGCATCCATGATGACGACAAGGACAGAGGGGTCATGGCCGGCCTCAACTCCGTCTCGCCCCAACGCAAGATCCATTCCTACAGCCAGCAGCTACGTGCCAACTCCGCGCACAAACGTCACCACCAAGTCCGTAAACACAGCTACGGTGACATCCCCAAGCCGATCTACCAGTTGTACAATGACGAGTCTTCGGACGACGAGTTCTTCACCCGCTTCACTTCCAACAACGCTCCCAATGCCCCCACCGGTGAAGAATATATCATCACCAGTCACTCCCAAAGAGAAAGGCTCAACAAGAACATCTCCTCGGAAGGTGCTTCTCCCCTCGATGAATCCCACAATTTTCAGCCCCTACCAGAGTTCATTGGCTCCGGAGGTGGTACCGGCATTTTCAAGGTCCCTATGCCTGCCACCATCCACCCCAGGCGCCCACCTTGCTTGGAGCTCAGGCCCCATCCTCTCAGGGAGACTCATGTAGGCAAGTTCTTGAGGAACATAGCCTGCACCGATACACAACTTTGGGCAGGTCTGGAGAGTGGGGTTCGGTTTTGGAGGTTCGAGGATGCTTATCAACCAGGCCTGGGTTCCAAAGTGAGGAGAGGCGATGAGGATGCTGCGCCTTTTCAAGAGTGTGCCAACACTCCCCCTACCAACTGTTTGCTCGTGGACTGTGGGAATAAGTTGATTTGGAGTGGACACAAGGATGGAAAAATCAGGTCCTGGAAGATGGATCATCCGACTGATGATGCCACTCCTTTCAAGGAAGGATTGCCGTGGCAGGCACATCGCGGTTCTGTTCTTTCCATCATCATGAGCTCCTATGGTAAACTATATCATATTAAGTAACAAATTAAGCTTCCTCCTCTATGTTACAAACATAACTTTTAAGCATAATGCTTTGGTGCAGGTGACTTGTGGTCAGGTGGCGAAGGCGGTGTTATTAAGATTTGGCCATGGGAATCCATTGAAAAATCCCTCTCTTAGACCAGAGGAGAAACACATGGCTGCTTTATTAGTAGAGAGGGCATTCATTGATCTCAGGAGCCAAGTTGCAGTTAATGGTAACTGTAACCTTTCTTCCTCCGATGTCAAGTGCTTGGTTTCCGACTGTGTACGAGCCAAAGTTTGGTGTGTTCAGCCTCTTTCCTTCTCTCTATGGTACGTTTGGCCTATGATTTGTATTTATATCTCCATGTTTTCTACTCTATTGATGAGTTATTTGATCTTCAGGGACGCTCGCACGAAGGAACTTCTCAAAGTGTTTAATATTGACGGTCAGATAGAGAATCGCGTTGACATGCTGCCGCAAGATTACCAAACCTTCTTAGAAGATGAGATGAAGGTGAAATTTGTTTCCAGTACAAAAAAGGAGAAATCTGGGGGCTTTTTGCAACGCTCCCGCAACGCTATAATGGTAGCCGTGGATGCCGTACGTAGGGTAGCAACGAGAGGAGGCGGGGAGTTTGCAGAAGACAATAAGAGGACCGAAGCACTAGTGCTAGCTCCGGATGGGAGCATATGGAGTGGATGTACAAATGGCCTACTCGCGCAGTGGGATGGAAATGGAACGCGGTTGCAAGACATTAGTCACCACCCTTGTGCAGTGCAATGCTTTTGTGTTTTCGGAACATGGATTTATAAAGGCTATGTTAGTGGGATGGTCCAGGTGATGGATCTCGAAGGGAACCTGGTTGCAGGATGGATGGCTCACAATGGTCCCGTCATAAAATTAGCAACTGGCAATGATTACATCTTCAGCTTGGCTACTCACGGCGGTATTCGTGGATGGAGCATCTCGTCTCCAGGGCCAATCGACGGCATATTACGACAAGAACTAGCAGAAAAAGAACATATCTACTCGAGACAAGACAATATAAGGATGCTTATCGGAACTTGGAATGTTGGTCAAGGAAGAGCCTCTCATGAGTCACTTATGTCATGGTTGGGCTCTGTTGTATCAGATGTTGGCATTGTAGTTGTTGGCCTACAAGAAGTGGATATGGGTGCAGGTTTCCTTGCAATGTCTGCAGCTAAAGAAACCGTAAGATCTACAACATCATATAATATGGTAATGTGTCGTCTAAAATGTGATCTCTTCGTTAACCTCTTGTATCTAAGCGCAGGTAGGACTTGAAGGGAGTTCTATTGGTCATTGGTGGCTTGACACAATTGGAAAGGCCTTAGATGAAAACACAACATTTGATCGTATGGGTTCTAGGCAGCTTGCAGGATTACTCATTTCTCTTTGGTAAGTATCCATTACCTCAAAATAGTATTTTTTTTTGTCAAATTTAATTTCAAGAACATAGTTTTATCTGCTATATATAGGGTAAGGAAGAGTATTAGAACGCATGTGGGGGACATTGATGCTGCGGCAGTTCCGTGTGGCTTCGATCAAGCTATCGGCAATAAGGTTTTCGACTTTCATAACTTTGATTGTCATGGTTTACTACATAGGCAATAATGCCTCTGCACCTGCGGGGTATATAGAAGATTTAAGAGTGGGTAATGATGGTGCGGGGAGGTGTAGGTTTGAGGATCAGAGTGTATGATAGGTTGATTTGCTTTGTGAACTGTCACCTAGCTGCACATTTGGAGGCAGTAAACCGGCGAAATGCCGACTTTGATCATATCTTTCGGAATATGGTCTTCACCCGGTCGTCGTCAAATGTGCTCTATTACGCAGCGGGTATGGTGTGATTACTGTTTTTCTGTTGCTCTCTTGCGTTCTCCACATATTTATTTTGGAAGCTTTATTCTTCTGGCTTCCCACTCATGCTCTGTGTTGCAGCTGGAGCCTCCATTTCTGTTCAAACCGGTCAAGTTAATAATGAATAACCTCGCTCTACTCGATTTCGTTCAATATCTTTATTATAAACTTCTTAGTTTACCTTGTCTAATTACTTAGTTGTTTGGAGATCGCAAGTGCCACTGCATTTCCACAGCCTGCAGGTGTTAACACTGAAGAAACAAAGCTTGATTTAGCTGAAGCAGATATGGTTGTCTTTTGCGGTGATTTTAACTACCGCCTCTTTGGTATATCTTATGATGAAGCCAGGGACTTTGTTTCTCAAAGATGCTTCGATTGGCTTCGAGAAAAGGATCATCTCAGGGAGGAGATGAGAGCCGGTACCCGTGCGCAAAAAATGAGCAGAAAGCCCCTTGCAAAACGGCGTCGTTTTGACTAACCTATATATTGGTTTCCCCTCAAGCCAAAATTGCTAACTCCTCCCATTTAATCACTCTGATATTTCTATCTTCAAAAGGAGAGAACAAATTTCTCTCCAATCGCCTCTCTACGTCTCTCACCGGTCCATCGCCCGCCGTCGCTCTCACTGCCGCTTCGGCCGTCGGAAGCGGCAGCCAGAAAATCTCAAAGCCATTAAAATACTCTGCTTTACACCCTAAACCTAGTTCCGAACCCAAAACATCACAAAAGAGCCCTAGCAAGAGTAGATCTACGCTCAAAGTCTCGTGCTTTTACCTCCGACGGCGTGTCTTTTCGGCTCCCCGGAGGTCTCGGTCTCTTGTGCTTTTATTGTGTCCGACTGTGTTTTGTTTGCGTTTATGTCTTCGTATTTTCTGTGTAGTAGCTTTGTAACTGTTGGCTGTGTTCTTGGTGTTGATTTTCGTTTTGGTTTCTAATATGATGGTTGTGTGTTCTCGTTTACTGTTTTTTTTTGTGACGGTTGGCTTTCGATGGTTCTCAGTGGTTTCGGTGTGTTGATGGGTTTTCTGTTGATAATCGTTGTAGATGTTGGTTCACTGTTGATGGATGTTATGGTATATGATCCCCATGTGTTGGTTCCGATGATCTATTTATACAGCCCCGATGGGGTCTGTTTTCGATGATATGGGGGTGTTTCCGTATGTTTCGGGCCTCATGTCGTTATGTTCGTGGTTGGCCGGTCATCCCGGGATGGGTCAGTCCTAGGGATCTCGGCCGGCCGTTCTTGCGCGTTGATGATGTATGGCTGCCACGTGCGCCCCTTGACTCTTCATGCGGCGCGATATTGGACTTGTGTAACCCTAATCTTCATATTCGGGCTGGGTCAGGCCCGAATCCTACTAGACCATTTGGACCCTGAAAAAAAAAAGTTAAATTGAATTAACTTAAATGAATAAAATGAAATAAAAAATAATAAAAACATGATAAAAACTATATAATATATATTTCAAAAATATTTTTTAAAACTATATATTATATTTAAAAAAGTTTTCAAAACTATATATTATATAGTTTTCAAAACTATATATTATATAGTTTTCAAAATGTTTTTAAAAATATTATATAAGTTTCCAAAAAATGTTTTTAAAACTATATATTATATAATTTTTCAAAAATATTTTTAAAACTATATACTATATAATTTTTCAAAAATGTTTTAAAACTATATACTATATAATTTTTCAAAAATGTTTTAAAAAACTATATACTATATAAGTTTTCGAAATGTTTTAAAAACTATATAATATATAAATGTTTTCAAAACTATATATTATATATATTTTTAAATATTTTCAAAAACTATATAATATATAAATTTTCGAAAATCGTTTTATGAAAATTATATATTATAGTTTGTCAAAAACATTTCCACAAACTATAAAATAAGTAAATATATATATATATATATATATATATATATATATATATATAAATAACTCCGGGCAAAAATGAGTGTCTACAGCTGCCCCTCTTTGTCCTTTCTTGTGGAACAAAAAATAGGACAAAGATAAAAAGACACAAATTTTCGTTCGGTAGGGTTGAAGAGTAACTCCCTGTTGAACTGGGTTGCAGATGGCTCCTCCGTCACGAAGTCGAGTCCATCTTAAAATGATATGGATTTGAAGCTGTAGTCCGGAATTTGAATCGGAATATGGTTTCTCGTTGTAGTCCGCATCGGTCTTTTCCTCGATTTAAAGACCTTATTTTGAAAATTCGACTGTAAAATAGTTTCTTGACTCTACCATGTGGTTGATAAGCCCTCGAGCTGAATGGAATTGAACTCTAAAGGTTTTCGTTGGCAGATAGCTTTTCTCGACTTAAGCTACGGTGCCGAAAAATGGTTTCTTGTCACTAAGGTACGGTTAACCTAGGTCTTCTCTCGACTTTGAAAACCTCGATTACAGCCAGACAGTAGTGTGATTGAGGTGTCATCGAGCTGAATGAAATCGAACTCAAAAATTTTATTGATAGATAGCCCTTCTTTCCTTGAGCTATTATGTAAATGATGTGCCTAAGAGCTGAGCGTAGTCGAACTCGAAGGTCTTTGTTGGCAGATAACCCTTATAGCCTTGAGTTATGCTGCAAATGATGTGCCTTGGAGCTGAGCGTAGTCGAACTCGAAGGTCTTTTGGAGACAGATAACCCTTCTAGCCTTGAGTTATGTTGTAAATGATGTGCCCTCGAAGCTGAGTGTAATCAAACTCGAGGGTCTTTGGCAGATAGCCCTTCTCGACTTAAGCTATACTGCAAATGATGTGCCTCAGAGCTGAGCGTAGTCGAACTCAAAGGTCTTTTGGTTGGCAAATAACCCTTCTCGACTTATGTTATGCTGCAAATGATATGCCTTAGAGCTGAGCGTAGTAGAACTCGAAGGTCTTTTGGAGACAGATAACTCTTCTAGCCTTGGGTTATACTGTAAATGATGTACCCTCAAGCTGAGTGTAATCGAACTCGAGGGTCTTTGGCAACTAGCCCTTCTCGACTTAAGCTATACTGCAAATGATGTACCTTGGAGCTGAGCGTAGTCAAACTCAAAGGTCTTTTGTTGGCAAATAGCCCTTCTTGCCTTGAGCTATTTTGCAAATGATGTGCCTTAGAGCTGAGCGTAGTTGAACTCGAAGGTCTTTGTTGGCAGATAACCCTTCTCGACTTAAGCTATACTGTAAATGATGTGCCTTGGAGCTGAGCGTAGTCGAACTCAAAGGTCTTTTGTTGGCAAATAGCCCTTCTTGCCTTGAGCTATGTTACAAATGATGTGCCTTGGAGCTGAGCGTAGTCGAACTCGAAGCTCTTTGTTGGCAGATAACCCTTCTCGCCTTGAGTTATGCTGCAAATGTTATCTTAAAACAAAAAAATGGCCTCCCTTCACAGGTCTAGGCCAATCATAGTTATTCAAGCGGTTCCTTTGAGCGGGTCTGAACCAAGTAATATGATTTTTGGATGACTTCCTTTCACAAGAAAGTCTGCTGATAAATTTCGTCAGCCGGATATCTTCCGTCGTGGAATTGAAATCTGGCTTGAAGACATTAACTGGAAACATGTTGTTCATTGTTGAGTTCACCTGAATCGGATTCGATCTGAATTGGTTCTCGAACCAATCTGAAATTGATTCTGAGATCTGTAGACGTGTCAAGTCGATTGAGGTGTAGCTTCTCACTGCTGAGTTAAGCAACCACCATCATTCTTTAAAGGCGCTTACGAATCGAGTATCCTTCATCCTGAAGTCAAAACTTGACTCTAAAAACTGTAAAAATCATGTATGCTAAAATGATGAATGTGATGCACCTAAAAATGTCTAAGATGCATGCAATATGAATGAATTATGTGTTATCTCTTGGACGGAGTCTCGTGCTTTGTCTGCCAATCTGGTCCTTGGAATCGATCGTGCCCCATTATCTTTTCGAGCTTTGGCTTTACAGACCTTTCAAATCTGAGACTGTTTTGTTTGAAAATGTTTTTCTCCTTTTTCTTATTTTAGGAGGGAAAAGGACAAAAAAATGTAGTAAAATATTGCTCCTTAATTCATGCTCGCAACTAAATCAGATTATAAACACGAGTTCAAAGTATATCAAAGGAATCAATAGCTCTTTTAATGCTTTCAGAGTTACAGCTCTTTGACAAATGTTCAAATGGATGAATTGACTTTAGGTTGGCCTCCTTTCTAAGGTTTTGGTAACCCAAAATGTCATTTTTTTTAAATATCACAACATGCTTTGGCATTTTAGTCTAATGCAGACAAAATGACGCAACTAGCATTATCGATTACTAGACCTTCTATTTCAATTCTCTGAAATCCTCCATTTGTTCAAGTTTTGTAAGCTCCTCTAACAAAGGTAGTGCATAAATATTGGTCTAAAAATGAAACTCTTGAGTGCTCGTGTGAAATTGACTATAACATGTGTTTCTTAACTCCCTTAGTCCATCATTACCGAAAATTTCTCGCTTAGATAAATTTGATTTAATTTGCCGTTATCTGGCTAGCTGAATCCATAAAGGTGGGGCGTTTAACCAATTGCTTTAGAGGGACAATTTAACATTATAATCAGTTTTATCAAGTTCACTGAAGGGTTCATCTCATCACAAAGCCTTCGGCCGAACAATAGCAGTGGAACAAACACCAAATTGCCAAGTGTTCGAGCAATGTCATGGTTTGAACCTAATCTATTCATAAGGCCAGGGCTTTCAAGTTTCCTCTATAACCAATTGCCTTAGTGGAATAGCTCAGCTTTACAGATTTAATTTCTTAAGATTGTCAAGAAGAACCTGTTATAGTCTAGGTGTTGTTAAAAGTCAAAAATTTCATCTTTAGAGTTTAATTTTCAAGCAACT